CAACATGAGATGGTCCGTAAATAGTTTCATCAGGTTGGTAAGACACTGAGTAAAGAGACTCTTTTACACAACCAAGTCTTTTATTCAGCCGACGTTTCGCTAACCGTCTGTCTGGGTAATTCTGACTGGTTCACATTGCAGTGCAGCACAGGTGATGTGATATAAAATGTTTTTCTGTTCAGGTCCAGCAGCGTCAGTTGGGAGTGTCTGGCCGGATCTTCCAGATCACCAGTGAAAGGGCCAAGGGCGGGAGGAACGTCTTAAGGCTTCGGGTCAACTTCTCCAAGGAGATCATCACTCTCTCCAAGGAGGTGCGTGTTTTTGTGATTATTTGTGAGAGACACAGTCTGATTTTTAACACTAGGAAGGTAACGTTTGCAAAGCAGATGCATAATGTTTGCCTTCGCATATGTCTGCTCTGTTAATTCTTACTCAAACACATTCCTTCGGTGAAAATAATTACTATGGATAGTTGATCTGATTTGATGGAGTAAAGCTATACTGTGCTTCCCAAGGGCACAAGATCGGTGACAAGGTGGGGTTTGAACCCGGGATCTCTTGGTTCCCAGCCGAAGACGCTACCGCTTCGCTACACTACCCCGCTAAAGTATTGCAAACAGGAATTGTCACTGATGCACGTTTTTTGCTGCAGGTGCGGAACCTGAAGTGGCTTGGGTTCCGAGTCCCGCTGGCGATCGTCAACAAGGCTCACCAGGCCAACCAGCTGTACCCCTTCGCCATCTCACTCATCGAGAGTGTTCGCACCTACGAACGGACCTGCGAAAAGGTGAGCCGTGTATCAAAGTGTTTTTTCAGTTCAATCTTTATCAAAACAACTCGCAGGCGTGTGTCTGAATTGTGTTGTTTTCAACAACAGCAGGCGTCTATTCTCAACTAGTTCAATATCGGCTTTTAAAATTATGAAGTCTTGTCATTTGCCCTTGCATAATAGGGTATCAACTTGTATAGTAAATGCAACTTTTGTGGTACTGTAAGGTTTAGACTAAATGGTCCAATCAAATAAGCCAAAGTATTAAAAGTGACCCGTAAGTTCACTTCTATTGTGTTGTGCAGTCCATTGATAAAGCCTCCCTCTATGCAGGGTGATTCAATGTCTAGTCATATGAATTGTTAAATTTATTGCAAATTCATGCCCGAGGGCTAATTACAAGAACAGACAACTACATAAGAACAGGCGAATTAATACACAAATAACTACTGCTAAACTCCTAAAAGCTACATGTATATACTGGGTTTGACTTCTTTTTTTAAGGCAGAGGAAGACAAAAGATCCCACTTTTTCTGTAATTTGTGGGTTTTCGGATGTTAAGAGCAGAGTAGTTTTCTTTTCATCTGTATATGTGTGAAAGTTAGGGTGCAATTTGGAGTCTGCGTCAAAACGTTCATTTCGTTCATTGCTATAGCGAGTACAATTATATAATAATAAACCGAATTTCCCAGTCTTAAATTGTGCAGTCTTGTATTGGCTATCACCAGAGGATGCACAGTGTGCTCCATCAGTGAGAACTTTCAAACAAAGAATACGGTAGTGGAGAAATTTGATTTGCGGACTGATTTGCGGACTGTGAGTTTTTTGGACAAGATGTGATTATTATGTTAGGTATTTAGTAATTTATTTTTGTATTAATTTGAATTTTATTTACTTATTTATTGTGTTCCAGTGACCCCCCCCCCTCAACTGGACCTCTTGGAAGAGCGGCTAAGGCCGACAGGGCATTTCCAGTATAAATAAAGGGTATTGATTGATTGATTGATTGATAGTTTGCTGATGAATATCTCCATCTGTGCAGGTTGATGAGAGACCCCAGATCACCCTGCTGGTGGCAGGACTGAGGAAGGATGTGCAGGCTTTACTGGCAGAGGTAAGTCTGCTGAATCAGCAGTGTGTCTTATACTTTATCCATTGGACTATGTATATGGAACCCAGTCAATGTTTCTTTTCAAGTTTAAATTGAGAATGGATGAAAATATTGCTTTTGACTAGTATTTTTAATGAAACACACAGCAAAAAGTTAGCAACTCGGGGGAGCTTTCGACCCGGTAAAAATCTCGTCTCTTGTCATGATTTCATGCATTTGCGTAAAGATCAGGCCTCTAAAAGACAGTTTGTGAATTAGGTTTTTATTGTACCTTCTGATATCAGCTGCGTACATGGTTCTGTTTTTGCAGGGCATGAACCTGGTGTGGGAGTCCTACAAGCTGGACCCGTACGTCCAGCGCCTGGCTGAAGCCGTGTTCCAGTTCCAAGAAAAGGTAAGGCGCATCAGCAGTGCAGGCGTGTTTGTATTAATAGATGTGATCTATGCTGGACTTCGCACTGGGAGTCAAAATTTATGTCCCCTGTGCTGTGAGTAAACCAAGCAGGACATAGTATCTTCCATTGCCTGCCTGTCTCTCCCGAGGCAGTCTATGAAAGTTGTAGCCGGTCTGCCAGGCTTCCTCCTCCCATGCTTGAGGGTCCAGAGTACAAGCTCGACCATAATCTTCTCCCTACACCTATGGCAGTAACCTACTAGCTTCAACCTTCTTGTTCTAATTTAGTCCAGAAATGAGGTAACAGGTACCAACTTGACATTGCATTCAGACGCTGCATGCACACACACACACACATTCCACCATGAGTTCTGATTTTGATTTTATAGAAATTGCAACAGTGCAATACACGCGGAACAGTGACAGCTGTTGCTGGTGTTGTGTCCCACACATAAAAACGAACACTGGACAGACAATACTCATTTTTACTTGAGTCTAGTGGGGAAAGTCGTGTTAAGTGCCTTTCCCAAGGGCACAAGGTCGGTGGCATGTCAGGACTCGAACCCGGGACCTCTTGATTCCGAGTCGCGCACACTGCCGTTGCGCCACACGACCCCACCATGAGTTCTAGTGTGTAACTTATGATGTTTGAATGTCTGGCAGGTGGACGACCTGCTGCTGATTGAGGAGAAGATCGACACCGAGGTCAGGTCCCTCGAGACCTGCAACTACAAGGAGGAGACCTTTAAAGAGGTCCTGGACCACGTGCAGAAGTCTGTGGACGACCTCAACCTGCACGCCTACTCCAACCTGCCCCAGTGGGTCGCCAAGCTAGACCACGAGGTACTACTACAGTTACAGTTACTGTAGCATACAGTTACAGTTACAGTTAGTACTGTTACAGTTACAGTTAGTTACAGTAGCATACAGTTAGTTACAGTGGCATACAGTTACAGTTACAGTTAGTACTGTTACAGTTACAGTTACAGTTACAGTAGCATACAGTTACAGTTACAGTAGCATACAGTTACAGTTACAGTAGCATACAGTTACAGTTACAGTAGCATACAGTTACAGTTACTGTAGCATACAGTTACAGTTACAGTTAGTACTGTTACAGTTACAGTTAGTTACAGTAGCATACAGTTACAGTTACAGTAGCATACAGTTACAGTTACAGTTAGTACTGTTACAGTTACAGTTACAGTTACAGTAGCATACACAGTTACAGTAGCATACAGTTACAGTTACAGTTACAGTAGCATACAGTTACAGTTACAGTAGCATACAGTTACAGTTACAGTAGCATACAGTTACAGTTACAGTTACTAGTTCCAGTAGCATACAGTTACAGTTACAGTTAGTACTGTTACAGTTACAGTTACAGTAGCATACAGTTACAGTTACAGTAGCATACAGTTACAGTTACAGTAGCATACAGTTACAGTTACAGTAGCATACAGTTACAGTTACAGTTAGTACTGTTACAGTTACAGTTACAGTTCCAGTAGCATACAGTTACAGTTACAGTTAGTACTGTTACAGTTACAGTTACAGTAGCATACAGTTACAGTTAGTACTGTTACTGTAACTCCTGATGTTTTCACACATAGTACTTTTGTCTTCACTGTAGTCATGTCCCCTACTCCAACCTGCCCCAGTTTGGGTCGCCAAGCTCGACCACGAGGTACCGTAACTCCTGATGTTTTCACAGTACCATGAGGTACTGTTACAGTAACTCGACATTCTACAGTACTACTGTCTTCACTTTTTTCACCGTTTCCTACTCCAACCTGTGAGTCGAGTGGGATCGCGAGGTGGGCCACTGGCAGAGATCCCTGCACTTAGATGTCACGGGATGTCTTGTTGAAAGCGAAGGCGGTTATGGTTAGGATGAGGGATATTTTATGAGATAGGACAGCAGGTTTATAGGATGTTTTAATGTGTTTTAAGGTTGAGAAGAAGCTGGCCACCCGTCTGCAGGATGGACTGAAATCGTGGATGGTTAGGGTTAGATTGTGGATGTGATGTGAAACATGTTTTTCTGTGTTGTTAAGGTTGAGAAGAAGCTTGGCCAAACGCGGCTCCAGGCGGGACTGAAAGCGTGGAGGGTTTTGGGTAGGGTTAGTTGTAGGAGGTAGGATGTCAGGGCTATGGGATGTGAACAATGTTATTTCGTGTTTGTAGGTCGAGAAGAAGCTG